ATTTTATCTAAAGTAATTAATTAATAGAAAAACAAAAAGACATGCAATATTTATAGAGATTTGTCCCAATTTGAGATTAGTCCGCTTTCATTATTGAGTAATTCACTTTGATAAAAAGAAATTTACGAGAGAAAGTCACGTATCTATCTTCTCTAACCTTTGTTTTTCCTTTTTGTGATGATAATTAAAGAATCTAATAACGGCTCCCTATTTATAAGACAAATTAGGATAAAATCGAAATTTACAAGAATTCAAATTTCTAAGACTATATTTACAAGGTATTAAAAATTTCTAAATTGCCCTTAATGAAATTTTATTCCAAGGCTTTGTTCCACACTCCCAAGGGAGAGGGCTTCCTGCCCCCACACAACGGCCTCACCTCGAAGCTCAATACTGACTCTTTGAAGTTATAATAATTAAGCTCTACAACTTAACGTCAGCCTTTCTCCTAAACAACTTTTAATAATACCATGTGTGTAAAGATGACAAAATGTTCCGCTCCATCCTATTTTTGTTTTGAATGGAGTGAGAACTACATCCAACACAGTGTCCCTGTGGAGGATCATAATGAGGTGGTGTCTGAAGGATTCATAGTTTAATGCCAGAAAGTTTTTTGCATACATTTACAATTCATTTCGTAAGGTAGATTACACAGTATACGGTTGTAAAAGAATTGTTATACTTCCTAATCGTGTTGAGCACTGAGCACCAAATCATAGCCTAATAGAGTTCTCACATATTTAGTAGATATACAACATTTTTTATTGTAATTAGAACCCTTCTTCATGTACAGAAACGAGAAATACAGAAAAGATGTAGATCACATAAATGCACGGAGTGGGTGGTTTGTTTTTTCAATAGAAAACTCACATGGGGCCCACTCCATGTGAGTTTTCTATTTTTCTTTCGTGTAGGAACAGTTCTGTACACACAGGATTGTTCAAATAATTAAATCAAATTTGAATACATCAAGTGGTCAAATTTTTATTTTAAAAACTTTATTTTTTAAAAGGGCTTCAATTTTTCAAACTTTCACATGGTATGATTATTAATTTCAAACTTTTGAAAGTGCGATTTTAAATCTCTAACTTAAATTTTTTAAATTTGAGTCCCCACATATTGCAACCGTGTTCAATTACTTGAATATTTAAATTCATGAAAGTAAAATAGATTTGGCATCTATAACTAGGGACAAAGTCAGAGGACAAATTTTTAATCACATAAAATATGTGATTAAAATTAATTGTTGATTTTAATTTAACCTATTTGGCAATTTTTAAAAATTTAAATTGTTTGTTACAGTATAATTTTTCATCACACACTTATACAATAAAACATTCTACTCACAAATCAATAAAAATTTTTATTTTTTAATCATACATTTTCTAAAAATACTATTTAAAACTCTTTAATTTTTCAAATAATGTGTATCAAACACGATCTAAATCTTAATTTTAATCAATATCTAACAAGAAATTGCTTTCGATAAAAATATATTTTTTAACTAAAAAACCAAGTGGGCCAAGCCAACTAGGGCGGTAGATGTCAACTCCACGTACCCACCCCGAACACCCTAATCCTAGCCTCACTCTACTTTATATCATAGTGCCCACCATGTTAAGTTTTTGCGCCCCCGCCCTCTGCCACTACACCCGCCGCTTTGTTCCACTGCTCTTCACCACTAAAATCCCTTTTCAATTATTGCCGTAGGGAGAGAGAAAGAGAGGTAATGGTGAGAAATTGATACTCACAATGGAGTCTGCTAATAACTTTGTTGCGCCATTTGTTATGAAGACTTATCAAATGGTGAATGATCCAACGACGAATGGAATTATTACATGGGGAAGGGGTAACAATAGTTTTCTCGTTGCAGATCCTTTGGATTTTTCGCAGAGGATTTTGCCAGAATACTTCAAGCACAACAACTTCTCAAGCTTTATTCGGCAGCTCAATACCTATGTGAGTCAATACTTAGGGAATTTTAGCACTTCTATATCATTACATAAGTAATTTTATCATTTGATAATAATTATGAACAAATACGAGAACAATCGTAGGTGCTTAATAATTTCAAAATGTAATTGATCTGCCTACTTGCTAATTTCCAGAAATTTAGTGTGTTTTTTGTTTATTATTTGAATTTTCTCTACGCTGATTATCTTCTGATAAAGCTTCAGAGTGAATTGTATTGGCAGTTTAAATGAATAAATCTGTTAATATTTGAGCACCAAGCGCTGTGGCGCTGAAGTAACCCATGCCATACTCATTGAAAAACCTCGAACGACCTTTAAGCAAAGAGCCATGCTCGGGCCCCACAGCATAGTGAGGGACTGCTGTACAAACAGCTTCTTCCTTAAGCAAAAGGTACCTGTACCCGAAATCGACACTGGTGGATAGGTAAAGAATACCTAAGTGCACGAGACAACAACTTGGCAAAATAGTCCCATATCTTTGGAAGAATCTTTAGGTGAGATAGTTTGAGATCTGAGATCAGGATTCAAGTTTTGCTGTAATCCATATGAACATTGGCTTTCATGAAAAGTAAATGGGCGTCGAATGGACGAGTTGAAGGGAATTTAAATTAGCCCTTGTTTGATGCTCATTTTTTGGGGAAAAAATGCATTTTTAAACAGTAGTTTGACATCATTTTAATCAGACCAATTCTTCAATAAAATATTATTACAAGCAAATAAAAAAAAAACTTCTTAATTTTTAACCACATATTTTTCACATCATTGTACTATTCAAAAATGCATTTTCTTGACAAAAATGGCCCTCAAACAAGGGCTTAATTTGTCTACTCTTTTCAACTCTTAAGAGATAGGTGGTTTAATAGTTTACAGAACAGAAACGGAGTGGCCGTCAGATTTTCTCACTTTTACTTTATTTGTGGGACAAGAAACTTTGGTCTCTGCCCTGTGGGTGATATATTTCAAATATCTATAGTTTTCAGTTGATTTATATGCTGATTCCGTTGATTAAATAAATTTCTTGGCGAACATTTTGTTATAAAGATTAATTAGTTGACTTTTGCATAGGCGGAATGTTTCTGAATTGCAGTTGAATTATTTTTTCAACATAAATCGAACTCCATTGCAGCTTGGAAGGAAAACTGTGCTTTTGAGTATCACTAGTCTCTATTCTCACTTGAGTTTTGGTGCATCAGGGTTTCAAGAAGGTAGATCCAGACAAGTGGGAGTTCGCACATGAGTGGTTTCTACGAGGGCAAACTCATTTGTTGAAGAATATTTCAAGGAGAAAGCATGCTAATAAACACTACGTTTCACATTATAAACACGAAGAAAATGAAGATGAGGAGCTATTTATGGAAATTGCAAAGTTAAAGCAAGAACAGAAGACCGTAGAACAAGAGCTTGAAAGCATGAGTAAAAGGCTTGAAGCAACAGAGAGGAGACCACAACAAATGATGACTTTCTTATGCAAAGCTGTCCAAGATCCAAAGCTATTAACTCGCATAAATCTCGAAAAGGAAAAACTGAAAAGATTGAGTTGTTATGATAGCGGTGAAAAGAAGAGAAGGCTCATTACATCTTCAGCTACTTCATCACATTCTTTGTCAGAAATGGATTTGTCAAGCTTTTCTGTCCAGGCTGAGTACGTGCAAGAAAGTGCTGCACAAGAAGAAATATCAAAAATATTCTCCGTGGATGCAAACTCGGATGTCGATAAGGGTTATCAGTCTTTTCCTTCTCTGGAGGCATCATCCCCCGAGTGGTTGAGCCAAACACCAGTTATTGGTATGCCTGTTATCAAGCAAGAACCTGAGAATTGTGTCAGCATTTCTAGTTCTTCAATGTTAGGTTTGTCTGGTGGGAATGGAGGTTTTGTAGTTGCACCACCGGTTGATAGTATTGCTTGGTGTAATAATAGAGGTGGAATGAACTCGAGTTACCCTGAAGGGATTTTGGATGGGGAGGATGCTAGTCCTCCACTCCCCTATCCTTTCTCTCTCTTTGGTGGTGGTCTTTAGAGTTAATAGTTATCCTATTTTCCCTTTTCAGTTTAATGAAAGTTCCTTGTGTATGTATTCTACATGTACGTAGACATTTCATATGTATTTACTTGTCATAACCACCTTGTGTAATTTCAATAAAAAATTTAGTTTCGATTAAAATAGTTACACACTCCGTTGGTTGGTCGTGCTCGTGTTGTATTGTATTATATACTTTGTTTTATATTGTGGGAGCATTGCAATGAAGTACCAGATGTGTGGTAGAAATGGATTTCATCTTGACCTGTATTACCTGTCTATTTTGTAAGTGTGTGTTTGGTATGCAATATTACATTGAAGTGTTAGTGTTTCTTTTATTGGTTATATGTTACTCTAGAACATTTGGCCATTCTGAGCTTGCATCATTCAAATTTGTTTGGATTCGATCAAAAGACATCATTTTCGACTGTAATAGCAACAATTTTTCATATCTTTGTCCATTCTTTAAGTGCACATTTGTATGTAGTATTAAACTGTACAGTCTCTATTATTAGCTACGCAACGTTTGGTCATTGTGAACTTGCATATTCATTTAACTTCATTTGGATTCCATCAGATGACGTTTCCGAGCAATAGCAGCAACTTTCCATATCTTAGTTCGTTCTCTAAGTGCATGTTTGGTATGCAACGGAATTTAATAGAAAGTTGTCTTCGTCCATTCAACTTTCCATTGTTGGTGTGCATCTTTGTCCATTCAACTTTGTTTGGATTCCTGCAAAAGGACGTTGTCTCGACTGTAAATATCAATAACTTTCCATATCTTCAGCCTTCCCTCTGTGACAAGAAAAGGATGCTTGACAAAGTTGCTGGAGGTATTGTACAACAAATGAAAAGATTCTTCCCTACCTTAAATAAAAATAAAGACATCCTCTAGCGAAGGCATCTCAACCCTAACAAGAATCAGGTTCCTTTGTTGATACATTAGTCTTTACACATACTTATTCTTTTAACCCTATGGAACATATTCATTAATTCATGATATTTAACCAAAAGAAGGATCGTTTTCTACTTTTTCTCAATAACTATTTCTACGAACTCAACGATTGATCCAAGAACTTCAGCATTTCCGGGTTTCATGGCCAGACAGGCAAGGATTCTAGTATTTTCAAATTAATCTTTGTTTATTTTTAAATTTTCACGGTATCAGAAATTTTGTCTGAATACTTTCTAGTATCGAGGAAGATGTTATTCAGTCTCTTTATGCATTCAAGAATCTCACATGACTGCTAATAATGATCATGCAATCTAGTGTTTTGAAAAGTTTTCACGAAGGATTCTGACTGGATTTGAATATATGAATTATTTTTGGGAAAAACAGGTCTGCATGGTGATGAGGATCAATCTTGATTGCAATTCTTGTTGCAGAAAAGTGAGAAGAGTCCTTCTCAAAATGAAAGGTAACTAAAGTCGTGTTAATGAATAATTTCTTTTGATTGCCGACTACTAACTCGAAATTCATCTGTTCTTTTCATTTCATTGACTGAAGAAATTGAGACACACTTGATAGAGAAGCAGGAATGCATGGTAAGTATCTGTGGAAGGTTTATTCCAGCAGATGTAGCGATAAAAATAAGGAAAAAGATGAAGCGCAGAGTCGAGATTCTGGAAATTCAAGAATTCAGCAATGTCGGTGTATAGAGCAAATGCCGCCACACATTCCAGGCCATATTCTAACACAGCGTGCGTAGAATTTTCTGAACTTTAAGTCCAATTTAGCATATTAAAACTTGCGCGTATATTCCAAAACAGAATGACAGAAACAGATACCGGTCCATTAGTTTCCAAAATGTAGTTGTAAAAATATTTGATTCTGTGCACTGCAGTATATAAATAGATCAATCCATTACATAATTGTTGTGTTTTTGCTATCGCAAGTGTACGATATCGAACAAGTAGTATAACGGACCGTTGAGTTTAGATTGTCATTCCCACAAGGACTATACATTAGAACTTAATCTATTTTTTTTTTTTTTAACTAGTACTCGACAAAAGTAAATAAAAATTTGTCTGTTGTGATTTTTAATTAAATACGCGAAAATATCAAACTTGCACGCAAAAGTCGATTGAGGATTCAAATATGAGATATATATTATGAAAAATTAATTCCACATATTGATCACCTTTAAGCCTTAGTGCTTGTTTGATAGGGATTTTGTTAATTGATTTTTTGACCGTTAGAGATAAAGTGAGTCCAACCTGTAAGAGAAGAATTCAAAAAGACGACTGGAATAGTGAAATAAAGGTAAACAAAAAATTGATGTTAATTGGATTAAAAAATCTCTACTGAATATGCTCTTAAATTAAGATTCACGATCTATTGTAGTGTTCGATAGAATTCTTCTATTGTATTCAATTTATCCATCTGGAGTTCTCATTGAACATATTTAACTAATTCAATTCCATATCTCTACGCCAATCAAGCTTAGTTAAATGAAACATTGGTTCTAAGAATTCATTTATAACCACAATAATCAGTATAAGTATCTCTGCACATTATACCAATTTATCGAATTTTACTATATAGTCTAAATCTCAAACTCACCTCTCAATTCGTAAAAGATCCACACAATCATCAAATTAGTAATCAAGTAATTTAATGTATTAAACTCATAAAAAAATCAATACATGAAAGATAAAAGAACAAAAATCTTGAATAAAAGGATCCCAAATAGTTACATTGTTCTCCCTAACAAGAATTTTTGCTAATCATAATGAAAGAGGAAAAATAAGATGTTGTCAAAGAATACATCACCGGATTTTATTGTAAATATAGAAAAGGAAGTCACTCTTGCACCAAAATCATCCTCCTCTTCCAATTAATGTTTCAAGTGGTGAATTTCTTAATGTTTTCCTCCATTGAATTGCTCATTTGATTCTCTAGTTATATTCTCCTCTTCTTAAAGTGTGGAATCTTCACTTAGTTGGATTCTTGCAAGCCCCCATTTTATTGGCTGCCCATGTTTTGTATTTGAAAAGGTGAAATGAGGTCAAAAATTGTGCAAGAAAGTGGTTTTCATGTAAAAGGAAACAGGTCGCGAACTGAGATTTAGGCCTGGGTTGTCACCTAGTATGAAATGGGGCACTCGCCCAAGCCAAGTTTGAAGTTATAGGTTTTGATTTCATAAATCGAGCAGTCGCCCAGTTATAAAATCTTTCAAACATTGCGTTTTGGTCCCCAAATTCGATTTTTGATACTTTTAAGTTATTTTATCTTGCAATTTTGGTCATTTAACTTCCAATTGCGTCCAATTGAACCGTAACATCTTCAACCTTCATTTCATAGTTCGAATCAACTATTAAAATGTTATAATTTAGTCCCCGTAATTTGAATTTCACCTTTTTTCACTAATTTTCGCTTTTTTCTTTCAATTCCTCATTGAACAATCGAGTGTGTTGGAAATGTTCCAAACATGAAACAACCATTTATTTAATAGCAGAAACCTAATAGATGATTGCTTCGGAAGCAGCAAAGAGTTGCGGTGTGGATTGAGATATTCATTAATGAACTTTGAGTAGTTCTTAATATTGTTGATTACATATCATTGTATTATGATAACAATAGAGCCATCACGCAAGCGAAGGAACTAAGGTCTCATCAATGATCCAAGCATGTATTAAGGCGATATAATCATATCAGAGAAATAATAAATAAAAATGACTTAAAGAGAAGAACGAATTCCCGCAATTAATAATATTGCAGATCCATTGACAAAGAGTTATCACAGTATAAACATTATTGTCATGTAGACTCTTATGACATTAGATACATAAGTCATTGTATTTAATGCAAGTGGGAGACTGTAAGTGTTATGTCTTAAGTCTAATCCACTTTGGATATAGACACTTCTAATATATAGTTGATGAGATTTATGACAGATCTACTAATTAATTAATTAATAATCAAATTAAATAATAGAGTCCGTGGATTCAAATCTTAGTAATTTGTTAATCACAAGGAGTTGTGATTGTGAGATACAAATTACATATGATTGAATCTTAAATCATTCGTAATCGTAAATAATGACGAGATATGAATATTATTATTACGAATAGACCATCACGTGTGGCATTTCTTACTTGTGAAGCAAGTAGTTGATCTCACAAGTTAAAGTGTATTGACACTTGAATGAACACGTTGATGTTTTGTTATAGAACAAAATATTAGAGACCCATCGAGAGATTTCACGTGGATAATTATCTGAGTGTCAATGATTAATTTCTAATGTTCGGTAATGGAATTAGTCCTTTGCCTTGAGGTCATCATGGTGCATTATATGAGGACAATTATACTTTGACGGTGTTGGATATTGCTTTACCAATGGCCACTAATACTACATCATTCGGGTATGTCAATAATCTTATAAAGCTTATGAATGACCAATAGAGGATTCGTCACTCTTAGATAGTAAGAGATTATGATCCACGTTTCATTCAATTGAATCGATAATGAAATCATTGGCCAATTTTCTTTTCGTCATTTATATTGAATGTTGAGTGACCACATGTATTTGAGAGGTATATTAGATGCCAACAACCAAATTAAATCTTCTTGATTGGTATAGTAATTTGAAAATTGTTCTGAGGCATAAAAAAATTGGTGGTCCTTGAGCAGCCCTTTCCAGAGACACCTGTCGATGCCTCGATTAAGGAATATGTGGCTGTTATAATAACACAATGATGATAATAATACTGCAACATGTGTGATGTTTGCATTACGTCACCTGAGTTACGAAAGAAACATGTGATTATCATGTTAACGCATGATTTTTCATTTCAAAGAATTGTATGATAATAATCTTGTATGAAAAGATATGAGACTTCCAAGCAACTATAATAATGTAAAGTTATGTAGGAATCTTCAGTCAATGCTTATGTATTGAAGATAATTGGCATTGAGAAGTTGTCTCAATTAAACTCAATCATGAACCAGGAACCAAGTATCGACTTAGTTCTGCAATCTCTGTCAGTGAGTTATTCATACTAATTATGAATTATGATAGGAATAAGCTCGAATGCACACTCATTGGGTTGCTGAACATGCTTAAAATTGTTGAACCAATATCAAAGTTAGCAGTGAGCAAGCCATTGATTTCTCTAAGGGTATTAAGAGAAAATAAAAAGGGGCTTTGGGAAAGCATCCAATATGGCTAATATAGTTAAAGCGAAGGACAATATCAAATCTAATGACCTTCGCTTTCATTATACAATGGAAGGTCATTGGAAGAAATATTGCAAGGCTTACGTTTACTTCATAAGTTTCTTAGGTATTCAATACTAGATGTGGATCTCATATTTATACAAATATGGAGAAACTAAATGAAGTAGACCACTACAAAAGGGAGAAGTTGACCTACCGGTTGAAGATGAGCAAAGGTTGCTACATTGCCTGTAGGAGCATACCTCTTGTCATTGCCTTTTGGCTTAGTATTGGAATTAGAGAAATATTTCTTGGTACCCACCATAGTTGGAACATTAAAATGAATTTCGTATTCGGACATGAGCTATTTTAATGTAAGGATAATTTTTGCTCCTGCTTATTTTGATTAAAGATCTTAATGATTATGGTAAGCTACAAAATAGAATTTTTATTTTAAACACTAAGCATTCTATAACGAGTATAGAAGTTAAAAAGCATAAAAGTGATAATCTGAATAATACCTAAACATGGCATTGCAAACTTCGTCATATAGATGAAATGCAATTTTAAAATTAAATAAAGATGTATACGTGGAGTCAATTGATTTTAAATCATTTGACAAGTGCGAATCATGCATATTAGGCACAATGACCAAATCTATTTTTACTTGAAATGAAGAAATATTTGCATGATTACTGGTCTAATACATAGTGATGTATGTAGATCCATGTCAATTAATGCTAGATAAAGTTTCTCTTATTTCATCACATTTACTGATTACTATTTCGGAGATGACCATGTATATTTGATGAAATTCAAGCTTAAAGCTCTTGAAAGGTTGAAGGTATTCAAGCTAGAAGTTGAGAAACAAATAGGTAAAGATATCTTTACACTAAGATCCGATCGAGATAGGAATATCTTAAAGATTAAATTCTGGATTATCTAAGAGAAAATAAAATTCTCTTGCAGTGGACTCCTTGATATACACTGCAACATAGTGGTGTATCTAATAAGAGGAATCATAAACTATTAGATATAGTGCAATTAATAACAAGCTATGTAAATCTCCTAAAATCATTTTGGGGTCATGCATTGATTGCAGTGTGATGCACACTAAATCATGTCCAATCTAAGTTGGTTGATAGAACTCCATACGAGCTATGGAAAGGCAATAATACCAATTTATCTCATATGAAAGTTTGGGATTGAGACGCTTATTTGAAACACATTGAATTGGATAAGTTTGAGACTAAATTCGATAAATACATATTTGTGGGATATCTAAAATAGATATTTAGATATCAATTCTATTACTATTTAGAAGAAAGTCTTCGTCTCATGACGTATTGTCTTCTTAGAGAAAATTTTTATTCTGAGAGATGACAGTGGGAGCAAAATGGAACTTGAAAGAGTTCAAGAGTCCACAAATATAGTTGACCAAGTAGATAAATTTGAGTTCGATCCCAAACCTGATGAAGGACACACTCTTCATTAAGAAATAGAGACTCCTAAGGACATGACAACTCCATTTAAATTTAGTAGGATCATTCGACCTTCAAGAAGGTGCAAATCCACGATCACTAATTAGCTATTATTAATCGAGGATGATGAACCTACTAATTACGCAATAAGTAGAGTCAAGTGTTGATTCGAATAGATGTTAGGAGGCCATGGAATCTGAAGTGAATTCAATGTATGAAAATAAGGTTTGAAC